AAAAAAAAAAAAAAAAAAAAGGTAACCAGGGGAATTAGCAGACACTCTTAGTGCTCATTGATCAAGAGTTGGCCAATAAAATGTTTTCGTTCCTGGTAGAGTAAAATCTAAAGGACAATTAAGTCCTTAAAAACTAAACTTGCCATGATTCCCAAATAAGTATATTTCAACTGTATCTATGAACAAAAATATATCTCAGAATCTGTTTAAATAAACCTTGAAAAGATTTGTTATTTTCAAAGACAGAAGAGTCAAAGAAAATTAAATAAATATGTGTATAACAAACTAGAACGGCAAAAATAGAAAACACGTGCTTCAAAGTAAAAATTCAGCTCTATTTTGCTTTTAGAAATGAGATTCAAAGTTCACAAAAGTGTTTTCAATTGTTTGTATCACAGTTTGTCAACCATGCGAAATTCAAAAATATTATGCCAAACGACTTGGAACAAAGTTTTTATATCATTATTACTTAAAATTTCCATTTGATATTAATAGAAAATATTCATACCTCCATTTTAGCATTTGTCCACCGAGGTACTTCTACAACCATATTAAACAAAGTCTGCAGTTAAAAAAAAAAACAACAAAAAACAAAGAGAGATCGTTTTTTAAATTTTACCTATCCTTTATCACTCACCTCTTGTGTGACAATGCTTTAGTTTCTTTCCCTACAAAAATGTGTGCAGACTGTATCATACATCTGCATATGCCTTAAATTTCTTCTGAAAAATTAGAGAAGCTGTCTAAAACACAGCAGAATTTAAGCCATCATGTCACTTGAACACTGCTGCAGTGTCAGAAGTTGCTATATTTCTGGAAATACCTTCACAGTATAGTGACACAACTAGAATGGGGTCAGGAAACCAGTTTCAAGTTTTATTTTCCCACTAAAACAGGAGTGATAGACAGGGTCCATCATGTGAGTTGAATGTCTCACTTTTCCAATCTGCAAAGTAAGTGTAAATACTCTGTCCTACTCACCACCTACGTAAAGTTGTTATAAAGATCAATTATGTAATTTAAATGAAAATACAAAAAAAATTATAAAATATTTTGAAAATCACAAAGCACTATTTAAATTCAAGTTACTATGATCATAATGTGAAATTAAGGATATCTGTATAGGTAGGTATCAAGTTTACAAAGAGACAGACTAACGCCTTTCTACACTTAGTTTGCTTATCTAGTGATCTCTGGTTCCCTAAAGTTACAAAAGGACTACTACTTCTTTTTATCATGTTTGAATTTTGCACTGTTTAAAGCAAAGCAGATTATAGGTCAATGGTTAGCAAAAATAATTTCCCACAATACTTAGGAATACAAGGCTATAATTTCCTGCAGTTTGGGCCTTATAAAGAGAAAGTCTCAAGGGTAAGGCTGCCTTGCATGCCATTTTGATATCAGTAACTAACAGCTTACCATAGCACAGTAATGGTTTAAAACAGTGTTACACCAACTGTGGCCGAGAACCAGAGCTAACTGCAAGCTGACTGTTATAGGTTCACTTAGAAACATTTACAGCAATCTGATGCAGTAATTTTTAGGTCTGTTGAACCCTGAATTACACTTTTCTTTAATTACACTTTTCTAATAATAATTGTATTTTTTAGAAGTATCAGTTCACAACAGATTAGAAATAAACCAAAAAACTAACCCTTTAGTATAGATCATTTGAGAAAGCAGTGATTAAATATACTTACTCTCAATTGTGCCACACGTCAAAATCACCAGGAGAGATTTTATCAATTAAAAAAAAAAAAGCTTCCTAGAGCCCCACCCCCCACATACCCACTTATTTGAATTCAATGGTTTTGAGGCAGGGCACTGCTTATTTTTCAAAGCTCTCCAAGCAATTTTAATATGTAGTCAGAGTGGAGAACTTCTGGTTTGCAGCATTGCTAAACAATATCTGAGGGCTTTCCAAGTGAAACACAAATGCTATTATTAATTCAAAGGATGCCATTTACACAACTAAGTATAAATTTAAATTGAGCCGCAAAAAATAATGATGGTTGTTCAATTTTTCTAGGTAAGACTAAAGTTTACCAATGACAGAACTGCATATCCATAATGAGATGAAGAACAAAGCCAAGAATGAATTCTCAACAATTGCTCCTTAGAAGTATGTCTCATACCTATCTTAGCAACCTCATACACAGTCTTGCTGTTATGTTTCATTTTCTATGCTCTTTCATGAGGTATCCCAGCACCTGTTTAAATACGTCTCAAGTAGCTGTTAAAAAGAAAAACCTAAGTAAATGGCAGATGTTCACATAATTTATTCATCCTTGAAAGCCTGGCTATAAGAGGACAAAGGCATACAGATGAATACTCAGAGGTGATAGAGAAGACCAGGCTAGTGGCAATTGTTTTACACAATGACACCTACCAAAACCACTCAGAGACTTGAATTAGGCCAAAAGAACAAAAGATAAGGTTTGAATCTTAAGCCTGCAAACCATCTCCCCTCATCATTTGTTCTGATCTCTAAAGAACAAATTTCCAGTCTGCTTTTCTTCTTTCCAGATAAAATGCATATAATCTATAATTTTTCAAAGCCAGTGTTAGTTGGGTTATCCTAAGACTACTGTTAATTATAAACCAGTAACAGTCTACTGACATCTAGTACAAAATCACAAAGACACAAGGGGACACATTTCTGAGAAAGTTGGGTATGAGCTAGGACCATTTACCTCCTTCAGTTATCTCCTCCATTTTTCCCTGCTATTTTTGTTGCAAAAACCAAAAAGATAACTAATAAGATACGAAAAAAAGTCAGTAAATTTTATATGCCTTTGGGAAAAATGGGAGGAAATCACCCTTCTTTTCTCTTTCCAACTCTTAAAAGATCAAATAAATTTTCGTCTTGATACTAAAAGCAAAGGCAACAAAAGCAAAAATAAACAAGTGATACCATCAGACTAATAAACTTCTTCATAGCAAAGAAAGCCATTAACAACATAAAAAGACAATCTAGAAATGGGAAAATACATATTTGTAAACCATGTATCTGATAAGGATTAATATCTGAAACATAAAGAACTCCTGCAACACAACAGGAAAAGACCAATCTGATTAAAAGATGCGCAGAGGAATTGGACAGTTTTCCAAGAGACACACAGTCAACAGGGACATGAAAAGGTGCTCAACATCACAATTATCAGAGAATGAGATATCACCTCACACCTGCTGGAATGGCTGTCACCAAAAAGGTAAGAAATAACAAGTGTGGGCGAGAATGTGGAAAAAGGGGAACACTCTGCACTGTTGGTGGGATGTAAATTGCTGCAGCCACTACAGAAAACAGTATGGCAGTTTTCCAAAAAATTAAAACAGAGCTATTGTATGATCCAGCAATCCCACTTCTGGGTATTTATCTGAGAAAAAAAAAAGAAAACAGGATATTAGAAAGATACCTGCACCCCCATATTCATTGCAGCATTACTTACAACAGCCAAGATAAGGAAACAACCTAAGTGTCCATCAATGAATGAACAAAGAAGATGTGCTTAATATATACAGTGGAATATTATTCAGCCATGGGAAAGAAGGAAACCTGCGATTTGCGACAACAATGGGTAGACTGTTAGGGCATTATGCTCATTGACATAAGCCAGACAGAGAAAGACAAATACTGCATTTTACCACTTATATGGAATTCTTATATATGGAACCTTATATATGGAATTCTTTAAAAAAAAAAAGGGGGGGGGCAGCCTAATTCATAGAAACAGAGAGTAGAAAAGTGGCTGCCAAGGGCTTGGGGTTGGGAAAAATCGTTCAGAATTATAAATAAATAAACACACAAACCACAAACAGACTCAAATCAGGCAGTCTCTGACAAATGAACCATGTTCTAAGAATTAATTTTAAGTTGGCTATATGCTCTCAGAATACATTTTCCCCAATGAGAAAACTATTTCCAGGTTGATACATAAAGTCTCTAGGAAACTATAAAGTCTCTAGGAAACTATAAAGCCTCGAACTGCTCAATGTCCATTCACCCAACATCTAGGGCAGTAGTTCTCAAACTTCAGTACGTGTAAAATGCCCTGAAACACTCGTTAAATATGTGGACTAACTAGTCTCCATCAAGCAGAGATTCTGGGGTAGTAGATATGTAATTAAGGCCTGGATCTGAAATTTTAACAAGTGTTCTACATTATTCCAATGTATGTGGTTTAAGGACCATTTTAACAAACACCAGTTTAAGAGAATACAAGATGGACGGCAGGCAATGGTGGTGGGGACTAAACAACACCCAGAGCTATTTGTGGAAGTAGATTCAAAGGCTGGGGTCATGAGTTTCAGTTGAAATAGAGAAAAAAAAAAGATGGAAATAAAGTTGAAGGGAAAAGAAGGCTGAGGAAGGTGATAGGGAATGCTGTCTGGCATCAGTAAGATAAAAAGGCATCAATAACATGAGATGAGATGACAGACATCAGTCAGACGTTCTGGGCCTAAGTCAACAACTATTGAAGGTTTGACAGTCACATATTTAAAAGATATATTTAGAACATGTTTATTCTAGCATATAGGTGGTCTTTTTTCCTCCTCTATCCCCACAAAGATTTGTCCCTGCATTCTAAAACAGCCTCTCAAACCACCTTTTTCCTTATAATAAAAAAATGACAAAGTGACCAATTTTCATAAAGTACCTTTACTTTAGACTATCTACCATGATAAGTAACTTGCTACTAAAACCTGGGTTCTGTTCCTGACTCTCTCTGGTTTTTCATTATAAGATGAAATGTTAAGGGGATTCCTAGAATAGTCAGATTCATAAATAGAAAATGGAATAGTAGTTACCAGGGGCTGGGTGAAGGAGGGAACGGAGAGTCACTGTTCAGTGGGCAGAGTTTCAGTTTGAGAAGAAATTCCGGAGATGAACGGTGGTGATGGCTGCACATGCGGAAGTACCTAATTACACTGAACTGTACACTTTAAAAAGTGTGCAATGAAGAAAACGGTAAATTTGATTTTATAAACAAGAAAAAGAAATGAAATGGTAAGATCATCCCTAGCTGCCATACACACATATTGGAAGAATAAAAACATCAGAACGCACACAAAAATCTTCATAGAGGGGAAAACTTTAGAAGCACTTTACAAATGCAAACAATCATCGAGGTCTTTAATGGACAACAGAAGTGATTCACAAAAATAAAAACCTTTAGATATACCTCATATTCATCATTTCGTGCTCTCTTTGTAGGAATGCCATTTTCCTATAAAAGAAAAGATGGTATTTGTGATTGTAATATCTCATCAAAGAATACAACTGCACTGCAAAGCAATCCAAGTAAGCCTACTGCAGAAATATTCCACTACAGAAGCTGTCCAGACACCGGGTTCAACAGAGAACTACCGAATGCCCAGTTTCTTTTCTCTCAGCATTTGCATCCCCAGTGCATGAGCATCAAGGTGTTTCATAAAATAAATTATTAGAAAAGCTAAATCTCTTTCAAGTATATTTTCCTAGTTTTTATAAAAATAAGCAAAGGCTCTGTTCGGTCTTAAAGGAAAGACTGTCAGTCTCCCGTGATTACACTTAAAACAGTCATTTCATTATTGAAATGAAACTCTAGGGAGCATGACTAACAAGCCATGAAAGTACTCAGCTACACCTCCTGCCTGTAAATTCCACAAAGGTGTGATTACTACGCCTCCATCAAGCACTTTTAAATTAAGAAAGACTATATGATGGGTTGGGAAGAAAAATTACTCCATTCACAAATGCTCACACTTACATGTAACCTTTACACACCAAAACAACAAAAACAAACAAAAAACACCAAAGAAGGAAACAAAACAGAAAAATGACTATCCCAAGTAGGCCCTGAAACATTATTTCTGTTCCTAAAATAACCACCTCCCAAAGTACAAGGTGCAACAGTTCTAATCATTATAGTTGAGGATGGGAGAAACTTATGCACACAACCACTGTGTGTACCAATCCCCACGTGCCCAGAATTCACAGGCATATCCTGTCCTATGTTAGTCCTGCCCTATTCTCAACTTTCTCATATTCCCCAAAACCCATTCTCCTTAGGCACAATATCATGCCCACTGGAATGTTTCTAGTCCACTCTTTGTTCCACCTCCACCCCTACCTACTACCTGATTCCACAAAATATTATCATTTTGTTAGGTGAACAGATTTTGTCATGGTACACCCACACATGAAGCAACACCCACCAATCACTCCTTTCATTATCCTGTTCTAGTTTTACAGCATTTAACATTCTCTGATTGACTTGTTTCCTGGTTGTCCACCTCCTTCCATCGAGTGGGAACTGTATGTCCTATCTATCTTACTCACTGCTGCAACCCTAGTGCCTAGAATGCCGTCTAGCTCATAATAAGCCTGCAAGAACTGTTTACTGAAAGAAGAAATTAGTAAGTGAATAAATAAATGCATGCACTTTTGGCCAAAAGCAAGCAGTGGTGTTGGGAGACAGGAGATATTTGGGTTGGACTGTTCACTGGCCAAAACAAAACACATGGACACACATACAGTAAAATGGAGTTCTTTCTGCCCTCTCTTTGCCTTCTTTCTCTCTCCAGATTATATGACCTCCTGTCCTGCAGCTGAATACTACTTAGAAGTAATGAGCTGGAATGATTGCACAAGAGCAATTAAGAATACAACCTTTGGAGTTAGAGCACCTAAATTCATATCCCACTTCCCACAACAGACGATAGATTTGTGACCAGGGGCAAGGTACTGAACCTCATTAGCAAAATAAGGGTAATAACAGTAGCCCTAGCTGTACTCAGATAATGCACCTCAAGCTCTGAGCACAGTGCTTGGATAAGCACTATGAGCATTCAATAAATCTTCACTATTATTCTCCCTGCAGCCATCTTATTGACAGTCCAGGCCTCTGAAGGGCTGGAAGGCAGCACCAATCCCACATCAGTGTTCCATAACCTTCCTCCGGGAATGATCCTATTCTCACACTAATTCCAATTCATGAAGGAGGCTTACAATCTTGTTGTGATAACTCTGTTATCCTTCTTGACTTCCAACCCACATTCTTTCCTTTCAAAATGCTTCTAAAAAGTATTTTGTGGTGATACTAGAAGTACATGTTGTCACCCCCAAAACAAGTTAAAAACTATACCTCTGTAGAGTCCACCCTCAGAGGAATATCATGAAAGGGGGAAATGTAGTCACCAGCTACATTCTCTGCAAAGGAAAAACAAAAAACAAAAATAAAAATACAGAATTAAAGCAATGGACTATCCTGTTCTTCAGAGCAATTATATCCTTATCCACTTTTAAACCTAAAAGGAGTTTTTAAAGTTTTTTTGAAATTAACTTTAACTCCCAATTTAAAGTTTAATTCACCTTTTAAAACTTGCCCCAATATGATGACCACAGAGAATACATACCAAATAATCCACATTTGGTTTACTGAAATAATTTACAGTTGACCCTTGAACAACATAAGTTTGAACTGCTTAGGTACAGATTTTTTTTTATATAATACTGTAAATATATTTTCTCTCCTTTATGATTTTCTTAGTAACATTTTCTTTTCTCTAGCTTACTTTATTGTAAGAATACAGTATATGATACATGTAACATACAAAATGTGTGTTAATCTACTACTTATGTAATGAGTAAGGCTGCCAGTCAATATAAGCTATTAGAAGTTAAGTTTTGGAGGGGTGCCTGGGTAGTTCAGTCGGTTGAGCGTACGACTTTGGCTCAGGTCATGATCTCGCGGTCCGTGGGCCCGAGCCCCGCGTCGGGCTCTGGGCTGATGGCTCAGAGTCTGGAGCCTGCTTCCAATTCTGTGTCTCCCTCTCTCTCTGCCCCTCCCCCGTTCATGCTCTGGTCTCTGTCTCAAAAATAAATCAACGTTAAAAAAAAAAAAAAAAAGAAGTTAAGTTTTTGAAGAGTCAAAAGTTATACATGGATTTTCAACTGTGAAGTGGGCAGATGCCCCTAACCCTGCATTGTTCAAGGATCAACTGTACTTCTCTCTCTAGCTTAACACATCCAAAGCAGAAAATGTCTAAAATTGACTAAAGCCCCAAATATGAAATATCTCACTTGTGAACAGATACTCATTAATAAGTGACTGGATTAAAACTAATGTCACTTTTCCGAGGAGTAATCTAACAACAGAATTCCCAATTTCTGTCTACAATCCTATGAACAGGATGTAAAGATCCTACCCAATTAAAAGAAAAGAACAAATCATTTGTTTCCACTCAGTGATAAGAATGTTTATATTAAGGTAAGCTTAAAACAAAAACAAACTTTAATAATAAAAACTGTCTTATCTTCACTGCATATAAAAATGCATATTTTAAAAGCTGGGCTTAATACAGCCATAAAAATTTTTCAGTTTATAATTACCTAAGTCAGGGTATGTTTTATTTCTGGCCTGCTACCTCTTTGGCATAATTTTCAAATTTAGACTTTAAAAAAAAAAATTAACAAAATAAAACATGAACTGGCTGACACCCTAATAGCAATGAGTATACTCAGCTCCCAAATCTTGGGTTTCCAAATACTATTCTCCAGTAAAAAGAACTAGGACTTCTTAAAGAAGAGGCAGATTCTAAGGCTGGGACAAAAAGTATACAAGATGAACCCAATGGATCCTGTAGGACCAGAAATCAACCAAGTGCTCAAAGAAACAAAAGGTTGGCGGTATGTCGAAAGGAAATGGAGCCAATCTACAAGAGCTCCCAAAGGTCAAAGGTGGAACAAACTGAGGAACAAATAACAGAGTATTCGATCACAAACCAAATTATTAAATAAATAATACAAGAGACCCACTAATGCAAATAAATGATTGTTTACATAAATAAATGAGGGAGAAGAGACAAACATTTCTTACAAAAAATTCCAAGAAATATATACATATAGATGTCGCCCCTCCAAGAAGGAAAGCTTACCCTGCTCTCCCAGAGTGCAGACTAAACTTAATGACTGACTCACTTCAACATAGAAAGGGAAAAACAATAACATTACAGTAGAGAACTCTGGCAAGAAGTACCCTTAACCAAGTGATCAAAGTTGACATCACCAGCGAAAAGTCATGTTAATAACATGTACCTCCTGATATGCTGTGATGAGAAGGGTATGTACTTCACTTGTATTTTTCCCCCAAACCCATAACCCCAGTCTCATCACAAGAATGACAGCAGATACATCCAAACTGAGGGACGTTTTACACAATATTAACCAATACTGTTTAAGAGTCTCAAACTCATAAAACAAATAAGGAAATACTGAGAAATTGTTAGATTGGGGGGAATGTAAGGAAATACAATAACTAAGTATAATGTGGTACCCTGAACTGGATTCTGTAGGGAAAAAAATGACATTAGTGGGAAAACTAGTCATATCCAAATAAAATCTGGAGTTCACAGTTGGTACCAATGTTGGTTTCTTAGTTTTAAAAAATGTACACTGTTAATGAAAGATATTAACATTTGAGGAAAGTTGGTAAGAGATATACTGGAATTCTGTACCATCTTTGCAACTCTGCCAAATCTGAAATTATTTCACAATAAAATTCAAATAAACAAAAATAAGCTGTGGCGTCAGCCCACTAAAGTGAGAAGCATAGAATTTAACAATGGCCCTCACTCCACCAAAACTGCATTTCTTCTTCTCATGCTTCACAGGCTTTCCTTAGCACTTATTACTAAAGTTCTTGCAGGAAGGAGTTTCTGTTGTTTGTTTTCATTTGTTCTGTTATGCTCTCTCCTCAGTCCCAGGCATCCAGAAAGTACCCAGCACTTAGTAGGCATTCAATAAATACATCTCTATTACAATTTCATTTTTCCGTCCAAAAAGTTCATGTAATTTTTCTTTTTCCACTCTAGGAACAAGGGAGTTGTGCATGAAAGATCATGTACAAGGTAGGATAAAGATGACTAAGAGTACATAAGTGACAAAGTATATAAAAATCTTGCCATGACCTATAAAGCTCTTTTCATTAGTTAAAAAAGATGCATCTTAAAAAAATGCTTTTCCATACCAGATCAAACGTCAAATTCTCTGCCTGAATTTAAAATCCTCTATGAGTAACACAAGAAACGAAATTATCAGTTTGTTGCATGATTATTTACTTTTCTATAAGTAACACAGATACTTAAATGGGTCACCTTTATTTTCTATTAAAATAAATTATGGCAGTGAAAACTGAAAATGATACAGACACTTTGGAAAACAGTGTGGCAATTTCTTATAAAGTTAAATATTTGACCCAGAAATCCTACTGTTAAGCACTTGACCGAGAGAAATGAAAACTTATGTTCACATGAAAACCTATAAGTGAATGTTTATAGGTGGCTTTATTCAAAATCAAAACTGGAAGCAAACTAAATGTACAAATAGTAAACAGATAAATTCTGCTATACCCATCTAATGGGTGTTTTACTCAATGATATATTAGTCCCAAATAAAAAAGAATGAACTATTGCCAAGTGAAAGAAGCTAGACTCAAACCATTCCATTTACATGACATTCTGGAAAAGGCAAAACTATAGGGATAAAGAGCAGATCAGTGGCTGCCAGGGCTTGAGGGTGCAGGGTAAGGGGGCTAAAGAGAGACCACAAGGAAACTATTTCAGGGTAACGAACTGTTCTATGCCTTGACTATGACAGTATTTAAATGAATCTGTATTTTATCAAAACTCAGAACTGTTCACACAAAAAAAGTGAACTAATGTATGCAATTTAAAAAATAAATACGGAGCAAAAAAAAATCAGTTAAGGAAAGTATGTATTAAAGTATAAATAAAAGGCACGCCTGGGTGGCTCAGTCAGTTAAGCATCCAATTTCAGCTCAGGTCTGATCCCACCATTCGTGAGTTTGAGCCCCGCATCTGTGCTGACAGCTCAGAGCCTGGAGCCTGCTTCAGATTCTGTGTCTCCCTCTCTCTCTGCCCCTCTCCTGCTCACGTGCGCGCGGTCTCTCTCTCTCAAAAATAAACAAATATTAAAAAAATTATTTTTTTTAATTTAAAAAAAGTATAAATGGAAGCTCTTGTTCCAATGAGCAATCAGTCTGTAATTCTTCACTTTAAGTCACAAAGGTAAGGCAGTTTTGAGAAAAATGCAATCCTTTAGCAGATTATATCAATAATTACATTTGAGACCTATCACTGTGAAGGGAATTAACAATAATCCCAGCTCTAAGAATTCAGGATGTTGCACAGACCAGGGAACTTCATTATTAAAATTAAGGAAGTATAGGAAATTTGACAAAATAGCTGGGCTGCCTTTGTAATTAAGAGTGAAAAATACCTCTAGTACACTGATTTGGTGTTAAATTTCTCTAGAGCTCCAATGCTCTTGTTAACTGGGGACAAGCCCCAACAAACTAAGATTTAAGATGAATGCATGTTACTCAAGTCTGAGTGAAAAATGGGACTAGCCTAAGCTGTGATTGCTAAAAGCTAAAGATTTGTGAAGTGTGCTTAGGTACCTATCTCTTTAAATTGCAATCTAAATGTTATATTCGGGGGTGCCTGAGTGGCTCAGTCGGTTAAGCATCCAACTCTGGATTCCGCTCAGGTCATGCATGATCTCACAGTTCGAGAGATCAAGTCCTGCACTATGAGCACAGAGCCTGGTTGGGATTTTCTCTCTCCTTCTCTCTCTGTCCCTCTCCTGCACAAGCACACGTGTGTGCTGTCAAAAAATAAAAAAATACGGATGCCTGGATGGGTCAGTTGGTTAAGCATCCGACTTCAGCTCAGGTCATGATCTCACAGCTTGTGAGTTCAAGCCTCGCATCAGGCTCTGTGCTGACAGCTCAGAGCCTAGAGCCTGCTTTGGATTCTATCTCCCTCTCTCTTTACCCCTCTCCCACTCATTCTCTGTCTCTGTCTCTCTCTGTCTCTCTCTCTCTCCCTCTCTCTCTCTCAAAAATAAGCATTAAAAATAAAAAAAAAAATAAACTTTTAAAAACAAACATCATATTCAAACACTATGGTAATGCCAATACATATGTTTAAGTGGTATCTAATTGGCATCTTGGAAGGTAAAAAGAGTTATTAGTGAATGAGTGGTCTCAGATAACCATACCTACTGGAAGCCATCTGGATCACGAAACAGTATAAATAAAAATGTACTAGGGGCGCCTGGGTGGCACAGTCGGTTAAGCGTCCGACTTCAGCCAGGTCACGATCTCGTGGTCTGTGAGTTCGAGCCCC